CTAAAGAATAACTTTGGTTAAAGTGACATTGAAGCGCGTAAAAGTAACAAAATAAAATAAAAATCATTCTGAGTGAAATCTTGCAGGATGTGGCTGTGTAAAAGTTATTAGGCTTCAATGCCATCAAAAAGATTGGATAAGACAAGGCTGGATGGAATATTAGTAATATTCGTGTTAGCATAACTGATAGCTCTTCTTCCAATGGTAAACTAACAAAACACACAGTTGGATACAGCATGAAGGGATCAGTCACTGAAAATAATATTTTTAAGGCTTCAACCTGACAAACAAGCTAACTTTATGAAACTTACCGTCTGCAGAGGACAGCTGTAGTGTCTCGAGATGTGATCATGTTTTTGCTGCCACTGTTCTCCCATAGCATGACTGAGTCAGCATTTTACTTTCTGTGGTTGATTTTCAGTAAAACGTAGGCAACTTTGGAAAGTTTAAGTCTTTAACACGCGATTGTCTTTCTGTGCCGCCATTACTGTCGCTTTTTGATTTGCCTGCAGTTTCTTCTGAGGTTTGCAGAGCGGCACGTCACGTTCTTCTACTTTTGTAAACAAAGCAACAGTGGACACTAGAAGCAATTCTGCCCCCAGCAAGTCAGATTGCATTGCAGTTACAAATGAACATTTATTAGGGTAAATAATATGATGCATCGACATCAAAATTCCGCGTCAACTTATCGCCGTCGATTATGTTGGCTAACCGCTGCAGTCGTGATAGTCTGCAGGACCCATCTCAAATTGTGCTGACTCCAAAGGTTCAACACAAATAAAGGGACATCCAATAAATACTTTTTGCAAGTTTCATTAGAATTGGTTGAGTGCTTCAGGAGATATTTTACAAATAGTCAATCACAACCCAAGAATACAAACACAGACACACAGAGGCGAAAACTTTATCGTCTGCCTCTGCCGTTGGATCATAAAAAGGTTTTCAGACTGTTTCCAAGCACCTCGGCTGTCATATTGTCATTCCCAGTTGATGTATCATTAAAGGTTTAATCCTGCCCTACTATGTAATTAACTGTGAGGTTTTAATGTGTAAAAAGAGGAATAACACATTGGGTTAAATTAGTTTTGGTTGTTGGATGGCCTGATTGATTTTCTTCCACATCATCTACAGATCTGAGCAGCGCACCTCTCTAACCTGTAGTTCTGATTTGGCCATGGCTAGCCTGTGCAAGGCAATAATTAGATTGCATGAGGAGAGGCTGGGTCAAAGGTCTTCATATTATATCCAGTGGTCATGTTCTTTGCTCCAAAGACCTTTCTGAAGGATGTGGTGTTTATTTTTTATTTTCCTTTTCTTCCCCACATTTTTGTTTGGAAATTCTGAGCCACTGAACTCACACTTGGGCTTCTTTTTAGCCACGACTTTGAAGGCAGCAGGCAGAGTGGAGACCCTCTGATCTTTTTCCCCAAAGAGTTCTGTCCTCTCTGCAGACACGAGGACGGCTGAATCTCAGGTATTGAGCCACTCTGAGCAGAACAGCAGTAATACAATTTAAGTGTTGCTTTTGACTCCAGCATGGGTAGATTCACACAAGCGCACCACTCTGACATGTTCTGCAGGATGATTTGGTAATGTCCATGGACTGATTTCATGTCGACCTTGAATGACATCATTTATATTCAAGCACCTGCTTGAATGTGTGCTGCCAATTTTATCAGTGGATCTCTTGATTTTAAACATTTATGCAGACGTGTGTTAGCTTGCCATCATTGAGGGAGTTGTATTGATCGTCCTTTTTTACGTCATCGGTCACTGGCGAAAGAGGAATCATATTTCTGCTCATGTTTGTGTCTGTGCTGCTGGAGTCAAATCAATTCAAGATGGCTGTCATATCCAACTGATCTTAATTAAAACATGTCTTTCACTCAATCCATTTTACATATATTGAGATAAAATTTGGTGTAGGAGTACCTGACTGTAGGGGTGGACGTATCGACCTAAGTGTGGAAACCAAGATGGGCATAGTTATCGGATCGATACTGACGTGATGAAATTAATTTGCTTTAATTTTCACAAATAAAATGAAAGATAAAGTCAGTATACAAACTCTGGATGCAAAGTCTCCAAATCGTTTGGGGTTAGTCATTAGATGAAACCCCTCCTCTATGTCTTGCCCATGTGCAATGGAAGGTATTTTTGTTAATGTTGACATTGTCATTTTAACATTTTTTTAATTGCTGCTGTTCTTTCTTATTTTGTGTGTGTGTTAATTTTAACTTGTAACAATAGATAGATAGATAGATAGATAGATAGATAGATAGATAGATAGATAGATAGATAGATAGATGCCTAAAATCATTCTCCTACGTTTTATCAACTAACTAAAAGAAAAATCACAAAATGATTCAATGAACATGACATTTCAAGTACAAAGCATTGGTATTGGTGAAACTAGCCCTGCATTTACATGATATTAGATCAATACCAAAGCCCCCAGGTGATCCATACAAATATAACCAGATTATGCTTTTTATTTTATTTTTAATTTTACCATTCTTTAGCCAGACAAATCCCATTGAGATCACAGATTTTTTTTGCGAAGGAGGGCCAGGCTGAAGGCAACCAATTGTACATATTTTTTTTCAATGGGGGAAACCGGAGTACCCAGAGAAAACCCACACAAGCACAAAGAGAGCATGCAAACTCCACACCGACCCCAGATCCAAACCAGGGATTGAACCCAGGATATTCTTGCAGTGATGCAACAGTGCTTACCACTGAGTTTTCAGGGTTAGACCAAAACGGCTGTAACTCTGTCATTTATCAGCATGAAATGAGTTAAAACTCTATTACTGATGGCAAGGGACAAGAATTATAATATGGATTTGTCTGAAGAACTGCGTGTGAAGACATTTTTTGATTGGTTAAAAGTTTAGGATAATAATGTATGAACACCTCTAACATTGTTCTTTGTTCTCTTTGATTGCTCAAACACCCACTTGGTATTTATTCTTCTTGAATATTTGATGTATTTAATGATGTCAGCGTATGTACTGGACTTTTCACATGACAATCAAACAGTGGTGTAGGTTTATGTAGGTGGCACTGATTTCTCTTTGATAAGTCATTTATTTTCTAGCTCAGTGGTAATAATGGGCAATTTTCTGGTTGCAGAAAGAAATCACTCAATGCCGGTTGTTTTAATGAGGATCTTAAGTCAGATGTTTTCTACTGCAGTCTGAATTCTTATCATCCAATAACAGCTTCATATGGAAACGCAGTAGAAATACTTCCAGGAGGAAATCAGTTCAATAGTTCTTAAATGAGGCAACCTGTCTAAGAAGACTCCTGATGGTTGTGCAGAATTTTCCAAGATAAGTAAATATCTACAGTAACAGCCCCTCACAGCTGGTTGTTGCAGCAGAAGCAGTTATGATGTGACTCTGCAGTTTTGTACTCGTATCATTATTCATTGTTTGGTTATTCAATAAGTTCATGATTACCTGTTTTCATCTCTGACTGTATGTTTACATAAGAGAAGCATGTCCACGATGACATAGTTTGTGTGAGAATTACAAGAAGGTAAATTTAATAAAACTGACTGGTGACGGCTGCTGTTGAACTCAGAGAATAAAATTGCAATGACTTGATTCTGTCCTTGCTCTGGTGGTGCGTTTTTCTGCAAGAATACAAAGAATTTTCAAACACAAAGATGTCAGGATGAAGTTTCAGTAGCAGTTGAAGTCAGCTGTGAAAGACACAAAAAATAAAGCAGCTTTTAAAGGGAGCATATCCAGTAAAATCCTCTCTGAAACCGGAGTGGACCGGTCTGGAAGCAGGAGGGGGCGGAGCTTGAAGCATCTTAAAGGAACAGTAACAAATCCAGCTGCTTTTAGATACCCAGCAGAAAAGTGGTGAAAAAGGAGCTGGTAAAGTTAAAATAAGGAGGAGTTCAAACCAAAGCAATGTAGTTCCACTTTTTAAAGAACAAAACTGAATGATTTAAATGTGAAAAGGAAGGATTTAAAAGCATACTGTAATATGTCTACTTTAGAGTGTCTGCATTGCAGCATGGATAACCTAGCTTCATATAATTTAAGTTGATAATTATTTATTGTTTCAGCATTGGCTCCAGCTTGAATCTAGCAGAAATGGGAGTTTTATGGCATAAATCTATTTTGCATGACGGGGGTGTACTCCAACCTGGCACCACTGAAATGTGCAACAAGCCATGTGAAATATTCATCACTCTGTAATATTATTATTTTTTTATCAGCCATCATTTTAGTTTTTGTTCTTTTTTTAGAGGCCCTAATTACCATTTGATGTTGGTAATTTGTCTCGGCTTATCTTTTAGCACAATTCTTGCTATTAAATCAGTGAAATGTCATTACCGTGTTCACAGGTTGAGCTAAAACTTTAAAAATAAAACTTCTATTACCAGGAGATAAAATTAAATGCAACCCAGTGCTGCATGAAATCCTTTAACATAAAGTCAATGAACCGTTATTATTAAATGTGTAGGGAATGTAGGTTTCCTTGAGGAATATTTGTCCAATAGTTCAGACATAATGGTCAAAGTCATGGAAGGAGGTTGACAGCTGATTCTTTTTACACTTCCTGAAACATCTAAACCTGATATTACCATCAAATAATTCCTTTTTTATCCTATAATATGTATATATTTTTACTGTATGAAGTTTGTTGTATTTATACTCTTTTTACCAACTCTGTCTTATTTTTTAGTTCTGTTCAGCTTTCCAATACATTAAGTACAAATCTGTGTAGTGGATTCACATATAAAAGGTGTAAAATGGTACTTCGACAAGCAAACTGTGTATTATACCAACAAAGTGTCTGCTTTTGTTACTGATATTTTTTAGAGTCAAAATGCCATGGAAAACATAAAAAGAAAAGAACAAATTTTATTTAACCGATGAGCTAAAGTAATACAGAATAAGTAAAAATGCCTAAAATTTAAACAACAGTCTGTACGTGTATTTCTTGCTAAGAAAAGGTCACCTTTCTCGCCGTTTCAGATCTTGGAGCTTTCGGTACCCGAGCCCGAGGTGGGGTTTCTGTGCGTGAAGGTCAAGGTGTGGTGCTGATGTGCACCCCCCCACCTCATTCACCAGGTAAGAGTTCCCATCAGCTAAACAACAAAATGTTCTTCCTCATTTCACTTGTTTATCATTTTTTCTATAACAGGAGGTAATGTTTCCCTTTTTATCTTACTGTCAAAGTGAATGACCGTCTCTTCTTTTGTATTTTATTGCTTTAAAATTTGATCATTTGTTTTATGTCCGTTCTCTGGTACATTCATCCATTCCCCTCAGATGATGAGTGTGATGAGTTATGGCTACACCGGAGCCAGAACACAGAATCTCACAGATCATATTTCTTGGATCATTAGAAAAGGAATGAAATGTGACAAAGCCAATTACTTCACATAAACAAAGAATAGGCACATTCACTTACTGACGCATCTTTAAACTCTTTTCTGCAGTCGTCCTCTGATATAAAGTCCTATGGAAACCGTCAAACATCAAACTATGCACAGAATGTTTAAAAAAAACATTATAAAAGTTGTGAAATAGATAAAATAATTCACATTTTTTTAAATAATGTTTAATACTCTACAAATTAAATTGTAGCACAGAAAATTTGGATCTTAGCCTCCATCACTGTAAGTGGAAACTTTCATTGGGTAAAACTGTAAAATTGAGAAACAAGGCGGCCACACTCACGGGTTTACATTTGATTTATTTTCAAATGACCAGAATTGTGATTGACATGTAATAAATCTTGAACACCAGGACATGACGTTGTAAAATGATAGCAGCATGATGGAATTATAGATTTTCTGCCATCTGCAGTTTGTTGCAGCCTTTTCTCCTATCAGCTATAATTGATTCAGGTTTGGTTCAGAGCTACGTGGTGAAGGAGCTTCGTGTTCCATCTCCTGCATCAGGTTGACCAGCAGGATCAATGCTTCATACAAAAAACACTTAACAGGAAAATATGAAGCTGTGAACAATAACTTTTTTATTTTTCAAATTTAGTTGTTTGTGCGCAAAGTTATAAATTATCTTGATTATAGGCATTTACTATTTTAGTGTAGAACTAGAAAATAAAAAAATATAAAAAAGTTGCACTTTTATTCTGCTTCGTTTTAATACACATTTACATTGAACTGCTTGCATGAACAGTGCCCCCTTCTTTTATTTAGGCTTATATTCAGATTTTTGTCACTTGCAAATGTTTTGTTTGAACAGTTTCTACTTATGTCTTTATAAATTACAGCTCCACTGCAACAAGCTGTTAAGTTTTTAAATTCAGTATTCTTTAGTCAGGCTTATAGATGAAACAGGAATGACTAATTTTCTTTGTTTTCTTTGTTATATAT